GATATCGTTGAGTATCTTTGTCCTCAACATTGGTAGAGGCTCAGACCAGTCATATGTTTCTGTGGCTGTGAGGGAAACGTACCTCCTTCAATGAGAAGATTCTTCTAGTCAAAAACTGCTTTGCTATTCAAGACAAACATGATTTTTGTAAGCTACTTGCCACGGAAGTTTTGTTAACAAAGAGTGTCTTTGCCTTGAATCTGATTGCAAGGCATTTCTAACAGCTAGATTGATCAAATTTCTAGATGATTGGATGTTCAAACGCACTGGCTATGGCATGTCCCAGTGAAGCATGCTCAGCCAAAACTCCTTGGTGCATAGTATGGAGTCCTTCTTGAGTCTTGACCATCTCATTATGGTGGAGGTTTGTCAAGGTTGGTATCTCACTTGGTTTTGCTCCCAAATCTTTGTTTCCTGGCTTATTTGGAGAATACAGCTCTAGACCGCTCCCTGTGTGGGATATGCAAGATTTTGAATTGAAATACAGTGTGAAAGGGGGTGGTCAAGCTTCACAAGGGGGGGGCTGCGTTTAGTAAAATCCTTTCTAAGTCAAAAATATTTCCAATGGTTAGGACAGAAACCACCATTTCATTCCTTGGCTTTGATTCAAGTCTACTTTGATGGTTGGAAGCACCATTTTTCCCATTCAAGCCAAGTGAAATAAGCCATTCTCCAACCTGATTCAATGATTTCATTTGGCTTCTTTGTTTTCAATCCAACCTTGAACCTTTTGACATTTGATGAAACTTCAATATATTTGAATGTTCTGCCACCATGTTTCTCATCCGCTTTGATTTTACTTGTCAGGCCCTCAGATCTAAATTATTCTTTCAACCACTGATTCCTTCCAGTGTTTATTGTCATTGCTGGACCAGTCCGTAAATCTATAAAGCTGGCCCTGTGTTGCAGTCTCCAGTTTTTTTCAACCCACTTTCACCTCCAGTCAATCAAAGATATAGCTTCAAATTTATCAAATTGTTATTATACTCTGATCTATGGACAGCTTGTGGTTCTAAGCTTGGGAGGTGCTTCCTAGCGCAGTCCTCTGAGTTCTTTCTTAGGCCATTGAGATTCACTATTAAATCCCAATCCGGAACTCTGATGGCTAGCTACACTTTGTGTTGCACAGAGTTTGTTCAATAACTTGTTGTCTTAGTTCAGTTTATCTTGTTCTGTGTATTTATCCCACCATTTCAGGTTACTAGAGAATGGTGAAGATTATGATAAAATAAATTTTATAGTCTTTCTCTTTTGGGATGTTTCTACTTATTGAATCTCTGACTTGGTAATTGGCTTTTGAGATTCAAGTTGTTCAGGGGTCTTTGAGACTAGACCTACAAGCTGTAATAGTTTGTTGTATTTTTTATTATACATATATATATTTATGGGATACAAAGTTAAATCTGGGATTTGTCTCCCAGTTTCCCAGTTTTTGTTTTGGTTTTTGGCTGTGTTTGGAACTTTCCCACGTTCTCCCAGTTTCCCAGTTTGCGTTTTTGGCAGTATTTTGGAAACTGGGAAACTGGGAAAAAACTCCCAGATTTAACTTTGTATCCCATAATTAGAATGAGAAAATGAAGAAATCATTATAAGACCATAAGTTCATTGTGGATGAGGACCTCGAGGTCTGACACAAGTGGCATACTTCTTGACGCTGGCAAGCTGAGTAATTGATTATGCAGCATGTGTTATTGATCAGACATATAAGCAACATTGTCAGAGTATCACATATACCCACAACCGTCCTTCAGCAGAAGATTCAATCATGATAATCATACACATTTGGAAGATGGCAGCCATTTCCTTGTCTTGATTCAAGGCATTTTGGAGAACTTGAGACCTTCTCAAGGGGGCCTTCAAAATTGAGAAGGCTTTCTCACTTGGGTTGAGATCCAGGCTGTAAGCTGGAAGGTACACCAGTTGAACACCACAAGCCCCACAAAGTTCAGCTACCCAATGGTTGTGATGGATTGGTGCATTATCCATCACCAAAACACTGCTACATATTTCATGACATCCAAATGAGTATCATGAAAGCAAACAAAAAAACAGAAAAAAAGAACAAAATCATAAGACTCACAAGATCTTGGTCAAGGTAGTCCTCAAAGTCAATCTTTGAGTAGCCACCCGCCTGGACCTTACACGCCATTACTCCATGTAAGAAGATTGCGGGTAATACAGGAGAGTTGAATTCCAATTGACTCAATGATTTCACAAAAGTGCATTCCTCAAAGTACCATGCGGAGCACAACCAGCTTGACTTTGAGGCTGTGCATAGGCATCTGCATGGGAATAAGCAAGAAAAGCAAGTCAGAAGGTGATGAACAATTTTGGAAGAAAAGAGAAATATAAAATTTACCATCGGAAATGGGGGATATCAAGATTTTGAAAAATGTCTCGCTCGAGGCGAGCGTGGGACTTTGTTCATTTATGGTTCTCAAACCTATGCAAAAATTTGTGCAAGTTTCGAGCAACTTCTGTGCAAGACATGAATACACCAGGGGGTAAGTGACACGTTCCAAATCCAGGATCAAAAGCGTTACAGGCACGTTACAACATTTCAATTGTTTTCGAACATGCCCGGTAGGTGTCCAGCTTTTACGATCCTGTTCTCGTTTCCTGAACGGAAAAGTCACAGGACACGAAACGTTCTCGAACCTGTTCCAAAGACTGTTCTAGCAGCGCTATGGACTGTCCCCCGGACAGTTCACACCGTGGGCAAAAGCCCGTCGCATCCGGGTTTGCGACGACAGGTCGCTTCCCACGGGGTGTTACGACACGTGTATGCTACATACACAGAAGTGACATGCGACAGCCCCTTTTGTACTGCGACGAGCCCTCTCACCCTGCGACAGACCCCTCGAACCTGCGACAAGACCCTCCAAAATAGCTCGGAATGCGACAACTGGACGATTATCCCGCCTTTGTGATAGAACACCAGCCTAACCTGCCATTCCATACACCGCTCAGCTCACCCGCCCACTCCTCGATCGGGTAAGTAGCCCTTTGAAATTGCTGAACTGATCAACGTCACCGTTCTCATCCAGCCTTGCGCAGTGGAATCTTTCAGGATGTTGGGTATAAATACGGCCTCATTCTACCCTTTAACGATTCAACCTCACCATCTCTTCTCAGTTTTTCATCGAACCATCCAATCAACCAACCATACATACATTCTTACTCGTTTTTATCACTGGTCATGGAATGCGAAGAAGAAGATCCCAACACGCAAACCGATCCCAAAATGCAATCATCAGCCTCCGCTGCCAACAACCCGGATCCTGAAATATCAGCGCTTATTGCTGATAGCTTGAAGCAGCAGGCAGCTCAGTTCGAAGCCATCATCGCCGGCCTTCGAGACCAATTCAAAGACCTCGGTGGATCATCTTCGCGCAGCAAGTCAACTCCTAAAGCGTCGACCCAGAACGTCACTCCAGATACGTCCTCCAAAAGAGACCGTTTGAGCCAGTCTACATCATCTCAAAACCCTTATTCGACCCCGACCTCGTCCTCCAAAAAGGCACCTCGTAAATCTAAGACTCCGGTTCCGATGCCATCTAAACCAGTCACTCCTCCAGTGCGTCGCCGCCATGCCCTTCAGTTATTATCGGGCGAGATGCCAAGTGATTTCAAAAGTACTAAGGTAAGTTGTTCAACTTTCAAATATGTGGTGAAAGAGCCAATGCGAGACTCTGACTGTTGGTCACGCCACAGGAAGCCCTTTTTGTTCATATCAAGGTTATGTGGGGGTTGTTCAAGGCAAACGATGTGCCTTCCCCTGTAGAGCCAAGCCTACTCAAAGAGTTCTACGCACGATTCTCCAAACCGGAGCAGATTGAAGCTGTGCTGGTTGATCCTGCAAGTGTTGATCTCGTCGCTCAAAACGATATACTTACCTTGAGGTCGTTACGCAGTGGAAGTGGTAAGATTGGTCGTGGAATGGCTAACCTGGATCAGGGTTACATTCTTTACATCCACGGTGTCTTAGCCAAAGTCGGCATCCGTGTGTGGGGTCCTGATCTCAACGATGCCGCCGACTCACTATACAACTCCGCTTGTCGACTCACCGCACTCAATACATTTCCGTCAGCTGATGGCCACCGGGGCTTACAACTACATGAATGTCAATTTAGAACATGTGAACTCAATGTCTCGCTTCATCGCGGCTTACAATCACTACGTGCATTACTGGATGGCCGGTAAGTTGATCATCTTTACTTGAAGATGAGGTTCATCTCAGCTGAAAAAAATATCTACATATCTATATTCAATTGCAGGCAAGTTTAAGTCCGAGCTCAAAACCCCTGGTCGCGCCGACAGCGAAAGTGCCAGGAAGGTTATACAGAAACATCGTGAACGTGTGAGTCAAAGTTGTAGCTAAACTTTGAGTTGTGTGAATCCCACTGACCAAACATCACATTACCCTACCATATAACCAGCTTAAAAAGGCACGCGTCCTATTTCTGAATGATCACCGCGGCAAATATCCTCCTCGTTACAAAGCTATCTGTGAAAATATCCTGTCTCACAGCGACGATGAGCAAGAGCCAGGCAAAAACTACCTTACTATCAAGACGCTGGAGTACCGATCAAAAAATGCCTCGAAGTTCATGAGACGACTAGATATCGAAATGCAGAAGGCTGCGCAAGTTGCTGGCAAGGCGAGCCCCCACCTCGAACGTCGACTGCCAAAAGTGCCCGTTCCATCATCATTTACCCGCGCTCCTCGAGACTTACCAATTGACTTTTACAAAGCCAATTGGTTTAACAAACTTCCCTCTGGTCAGAAGCGACTCATTCCCGATGCGACTCAGGTTGCGTTTTTACCGGACGCGTCTCAATCTCTGTTTCCTTCTCCTCAGACCCATCCTGATGAACGATTATCTGACAAATTGTTCACAGCCAAATACCTCAATGTATACTTACCATCCTATGAATTGTATGACGAAGATCAAGTTGATGAAGAGAGCGAGGAAGGATCAGATGTAGAATCAGTGGTTGATCGTGAAAATGTCAAGATGAACGAACCCGAAGAATCCGATTCAGAATTCTATGATGAAGGGGATTTTGGTGATCTTTATGAGGATACTGATGAGGAGGTGGATGAAGGCAAGGGGAAAGGGAAAGCGAAGGAAAAGGAAACTATTGATATTGACTCGGATTGATGAATGAACTACTCATGTGTGAATGAAAATTTATGTTTCTTTTCATTTATTTGCAAGTCTCTCGTTAACTGTCTTGTTATTTTCCCCTTCAATTGTTTTTCATTTTTCTTTTCATGTCTCTCCTTAGAACTACTCTTGTTTCTTTTGAAATCTCTCCTTAAAAAAATTTACCCTTGTTTCTTTTCAAGTCTCTCGTTGAAACAATTTATGTTGTGTGAATTTATTTTTTTCTTT